AATATGTGCCAGACCTGTGGTGATGGACCGCGCTGTCTTATGGCCTGGAAGGTTTGGGAAACTCCTTTATGTCCCTCTCCCGAGTCCAGATGAGCGGGGGTTGATCTTAAAAGCTCTTGCTCGGAAAAAGCCTATAGATGCTAGTGTGGACTTAATTGCCATTGGGAGGGATGAAGCTTGTGAAAACCTTAGTGGAGCTGATCTTTCTGCACTGGTTTGACTCTTTTTGAACTTCTGTTTGCATAATTTGTTTCTGTAGTTCTCTCTCTCTCTCTCTCACACAACACACAGTGACAGTACTAGGATACAACTTGGGCAGGTTGACAGCACTACAACAAAAATAGTCTTTAGAGACAAAAACTAATGACAAAAATAAATTTTGTCACGAAACGCGTACCTTTTAATGACGAAAATAATATTTCGTCTCCAAATATACCATTTTTAGAGACAAAAATAAAATTTCGTCACTAATCTAAATACATAATAAGCTAGATGAATGAAGCAGCCATGGCTGCACTCGAAGAGAAACTGATTGCCCAAAGTAGTAGTTCAGATGCCACGTCATTGACTATCAATAAAACGCATTTTGAGCAGGCTCTGGAAAAGATCTCTCCATCTGTCTCAAGCAAGGTATGAGTTAATAATGACTTTAACAGTGTCTTTGTATGCAAAAACATGCATGTATGTTGGCCTTGAGCAGCTCAGTTTTATTCTGTTAAAAAAAAAAAAAGCAGCTCAGTTTTATTTATTTATTTATTTTTCGCCCTCCACCTAATTTATGAACCTGTTTGGGGTGCAGCAAAAACAGTACTACCAACTTTTGTCAGAAAGCTTCAAAGCAGTGTGAGAGTAGACTTGGGAAAATGGAGTATTTGTTGATGGTTTTTGAGATAATCAGATTATTTTTTATTATTTTTTTTTTTTATAATCAATTTTGTAGATATTGTGGATTGATTTCTAGTTGCTACTATGCGTGAGATTGCAACAAATAATCTCGAGATAACTTATCTGGCCTGAATATAGTTTTCATTCCTATGCTGGGGAAAGATTTTGTAGTAGTGAAGAATGATGTATTTGGCTTACATGGTACACCATCATTCATAAAGAAGGTTTATTCTCATTATTTGGCTTACATGGATACTTCAATTTTCAGAATTTACTATTTTGGTTTTTGGGAGGTTGGTAAATGGAAAAAAAATGTACAGATTGAATTGAACTATGCCAAATTCAAATAGTGCAATACTTGAACTCCGGGTTTTATGTTCTAGTTTTGTTATGAAGATAGTTGAGACAGCCTAAGCTATTTGTTGGTTTAACAAAATAGGGTTGTCCTTTCTTTGTTGCATATGTATTATATACCTGCATAGCATATACCAAAAGGGGTTGTGTATTATAGATTTTTGCTATAGAATTTCTCATGTATATATGTACATGCATATATACATTGTACATTTCTGTTGAGTGCCAAAGGAAATTACCCAAAACGAGACTGAAGCTTACATTAAAGTTTTTAGCTGGTTCATGGTCCTGGTGAACAGCCCTGGAGCTTTTGGAAAACAATATATTATCAGAAATGGTGGCCGGTGGTGGGTGACTGCCCAGATGTCACAGGGCGGTTAAAGGGTGGAAGTTGGCCTAAGGCTTGCCCGAGGGTTGCCAAAGCTTGCTGGAGGTCACAAGGTGATTAGAGGGTAGCTGGAAGGTGGCTTAAGGCTGCCAGAGGGTGGCAGAGGTGGGTGGTGGCCGGTAGTGGTGAGGGTGGGGGAGGAGAGTGAACGTATTTTGAAAATAAAAAGTACATATATCATAAAAAAATAAAAATAAAACTTAAAATGGAAATTGAAACTTGTTTAGTACTCCCTTGTTTTCAAGTTGTTTTTTTGATCCCGAAAAGGAGAATTAAAAAATATATATTTTTAAGTTCTCATTTTTTATGTCGAATAAACAATTTGAGGTATGGTCCACCTTTAAATATTAATATGATTTTATCAAAAGAAAAAAAGAACCCTCAAAGTTGTGGGTAATTGAGTCCAAATCAGGCAAATAAATTTATTAAACATAAGTGTGAAGTTTCATCCTTACAATTTAGAGTAATGTTAGGCATCATAAAAAAAATATCATAAAATGTTTCATGAAATCTTTTCGCCATTTGATTAGTATGTGGTGTTTTATAGTATGTGGGATAGAGAAAATCCTTCAATTAAACACTGTAAAATACACAAACCTCATTGAGCCAAAACTCATTCAAGGGCCACTCCAAAACTCGTACCCTTCATATCTACAATATATACTCAGATATGTGATATTAACTTCATCATTGCATATATATATATATATATATATATTCAAATCAACAATTTCATGCAAAATTTTGAGTGAAGAGAGAGAAGATCAAAGTGAGCAAGCTGGCCTTGAAGATAATACAAATAAACATAAGCACTACTATAATAAAAAAGAATGACACTTACCAGCAACGGAAGCCAAAAGAACACTGCTATAATTTGAAGTTTGATTTTGCACCTAATAGAAAAAGCAGTTGCCTATAACTTGTTTTCTTTTTAAAGTTTTGTTGGATGTTTGAATATTAATAGGCTATTATAATTCATATTGAATGTGTGGTAGATTAGTAAAGAATTTTTTAAATTATTTTCATGAATATTGACTTACTCCTATATATTAGGAAAAATGGATTTAAACACAAACAATTCAAAATAATTTTACTTTTATGAAGGTACAAGTGAGCTTGTGTCTGGTGAAAGTGAAATATGTGGTATGGGATGCACTTCTCACATTGCTCTGACTTACATTTCCATATAAGTGCAATTATTTTAAGTTATTCACACTTTAATGTATTTCTTCTATTCTATATATTATCGTTTTCGGTGTTAATATTTAAATAAGTTACCCTTATGAGCTCGTTTGTTTGGCCGCGTGAAGGATGTGAAAGGATTGTGTATGATGTGGGGTCACCAATGGCATGTTTGGTATAGTAGCTCGGGTTTAGATCCGACCTTTTTATGTTCTTTGATCCGGAATCCGGTACTTATTGTTGTTGTTTGTACTCCTTGTTGTCTTGTTGTGATGTGGGAATGGTTGTTTGGAGTTATTGGTCGTGTTTGAACAGGTTGGGAATTGGAATTTCAAAAGAATTTGTATATGTTTGTTGTTGAGTTCGCTTGAGCAGTTTTTCCTTCGCTCGAGCAAGCTTTGGTTCTGCCTAGTATCTGTGTTTGCAGTCTGAACTTCTGGAAGTGGGGTGTTCTTCACTCAAGCTATGGGTTAGTCGATCGAGTAGTATTTTGTGTCTGACACTCTCTTTTGCTCGAGCAGTATCTTTGCAGGTCTGAACTTTTGGGAGGAGGCCATTGTCATCGAGCCATGATTTGGTTGCTCGAGCCGTTCCTTGTGTCTGACGCTCGAGCGATGTTTTGGTCGCTCGAGCGGTCTGTGCTTATATTAATACAAAAAAAGATATTTTCTTTCACTTTTTGATCTCTCTCTCTCTAATGTGATGTGAAACAAGTTTGCTTGAATTAGGATGTACAATCTGCTTATAATCTAAAATAAATTCTAATGCTAACCATGTTAGTCGTGTCATGTTCGGATTGACACAATTACAAGAAGGTTAGGTCAGCATGATATTTAACATGTATAATTAAACGGATCATGTTAGTGTTGGGTGTTTTGGACACGAACCCGTGATGATACGATATGACATGACATGATTCCTATCCCCACTTGGGATGAGGATATTCTTAGAGTGCGTTTGGATAAAGGACTTGAGGGGGATTTTTGGAAGAAAAGAAAAAAAGAAGGGAAAAAAATGAATGTAATAGAAGCTAAAATTTTTCACTTTCACTATCTATTTTCTCCCCCTCCATAATCCCAGAATTCTCAATCGAAACACAGCCTCAAAGTTTCAAAGTGAAACACTGGAAATAGCTATCTCGATGAGCTGCAATACATGAGTTCAATGGTTGCCTTGTTGAACTACATATGTAAGACCTTAATTCCAAAGGGTTTTGGTTCATTTGGACTAAAAAAAAAAGAGCAAAAGAAAAAACCAGCAAGTAGATAGAGTATTAGTTAATAATCCCAGTGGATTCTAGTTTTTAAATATCATTCTCCTAATGCTTTGTGTTGTTACTTTAAATGCCCGAAATTAAATTGAGAAATTTTTTCGAATTCTTGAACTTTTGGATGATGCATGGAAATGTCATGGAGATTTTTCAAATTTCTTAAAATTCAACAAGTATTAGGTTCTCTAGTGTGTTGAGAACAAGTATTAGAATTGAAAGACTTGAGTTTGTACTTAGAAAATTGAACAAAAAATACTACTCTAACATTAGCTTGAGTCATTAAAAGCAAAAGAAAAACTAAATTAGATCCGCGAGTGCTTTTAATTCTCCATATAACCATAGAAAAAACAAGAGGCCCTTCAGCATTATATTAATTCCTATATTGCAAAGAATCATTCCACAACTACAATGCCACAATAAGATTAGAGTTGATACCTATACAATGAGGAATAATATTATCAGCCATTATGACAACAATTGGAAGAAATTAAGAGATAAATAAGATCTAGGGTTCGAATATAGGTATATAAATGGTATAGATATATTATGTATGTCCACATACATGTATTTCATTCCTTTGAAAATTTTTATACTTGACTCAGAGCTCGCTTAGAATGTGGGTTGGCTTTTTGACTATTTTAGCCTGGGGTTAAAAAGCCTCGTTTGGGATAGAATTTTTGGCTTTTTTGACTTTTATGAGAGAAAAAATGAAATGATTATGGATTGGATGTGACATTTTGTCTTATTTGGCTAAAATAGCCTATTTTGTTTTTAGTTTTTATTTTTTTGGGTAGGTATTATGTTGCAAGTGCCTAACTAGCATTTTGCCTCAGAACATCAACTAAATTGAATACATAATCAAAACTTTGTTCTAGTCATTGTGCTTCTACATCATCTATATGAGCAAGTAACAAAACATACTGTCAAGAATGATCTTGAAAAGTGAATAACATTTGAAAACTCAATTAGGCCATGTGGCACAAAAAAGAAGGAAGTTAAGTTCTAAAAAAATCAGCCACCTAACCACACCTACAAATGAAGAATGTGAAGGATTACAATGCTAACATTGTCAATCACATTGTAAGCTGACTCACACCACCAAAAACAGTACTAATTTTCCGCTAATGAACAAGTTAGCAGTCATCAAATTGAATTACTTTGTAGCTACTCAAGTTTCACTGAACATGAAGGATATTCGAACAGATTTTCCATATGAAGATTATACTTTATTCAGAATTTTCAGCGGCCAAATCTTCTTCCCAAATGCACTTTGAAAACTCGCACCATCTGAAGAACTGACCTGTTTTTCTCTTCTTTGCAAATCCATCTCCAAATGATATGCAGATTAATAGAAAAAAGAAGGCCATTTTTAGTAAAGTGTCAAACCAGTATGTCATCAGCAAGCCTTGGGCAAAAAGGGATTTTACATATCAACTCAGCTTCAAAATACAAAAAAACATTATCTAATGAGAGCTTCATTCCATTCCAGACACTAGTGCTTTTATCAACAAGAGAGCAAACTTTAGCATCAACATGGAATCCATCTAACTTTCCAAATCATCACAGACCAGACATTCAAATCCTTTCTTGCAGATTGCACACAAAATCTATTGCCTTCGATGACAAGGGAATTCTCAGATGTGCATGGATATTTCAGCCTGCACTACCATTTTTTTTTGAGTCTTCCCATAACAAACCTCCAAATTCTTGTGCAGAGTCTCAAGCATCCTCAAAAGCTACCTGCAAGATAAGGAAACAAAACCATAAGTTGATAAGAGGTTCAAAGTAATATACATGAACACAATTGTAATCGAGATGAGAAGACAAGAAATTTGCTTAATAACAAATAAATTGAAATTAGCAACCCAACTCAAGCTCACTTAAAGGAAAAAGGACCAAACTTCATCATTTTATTAACTATTATTGGAAAGTCTTAACTACTCTATCAAGTAAAAGATGAAATGACCGATTCTTCCATATTGCCATTTTTGGAGTGGCAAAGTAACCATAGATTGCCCATATGGATTTTGACTAGACTAGGTGGCTTCCTAACCAAGGATGGATCTAGGGGGGTGCGCCCCCAAAAATTTGAAAAATTTCATATATTATACTAAGAAATTTAAAATAATTTAAAATTATAGGGGTTTGCACCCCCAAACATACTTTCGCACCCCCATAGTAACAAAGTTGGATCCATAACTGTCAAATATAGAATAGCATATGAGCAGAAAGGCTTAAGAACACAAAGTGATTTTTTGCAATGTCTGGAAATTTAAACGATCAAAATTCTTGCCTAAGAGTGTGCTGAAGGGAGGTTTTTTTCAATTTTGGAAAGGACTTCTTCTCAATTATGTTGATATATCTCTTACTCCTTTATCATTTTTTTTTTCCTGACTCTTGTTCCCTTATCTCCTATGAGAGTTTTCAACATTACTAGATAAAGCCTTAATTTTAGAATAGAGCAATGTCTGGAAATTTAAATGATCAAAATTCTTGCCTAAGAGTGTGCTGGAGGGAGGTTTTTTCAATTATGGAAAGGACTTCTTCTCAATTATCTTGATATATCTCTTACTGCTTTATCATTTTTTTTTTCTTGACTCTTGTTCCCTTATCTCCTATGAGAGTTTTCAACATTACTAGATAAAGCCTTAATTTTAGAACAGAGCATCCAAAGTACTCATCAAGCAAATTTCAGGCATACCTTGAGAACAAGTGCAAAAACTGGCAATGCAGTTTAGATGATGAGCATGCGTACATCCTAAAGTTTGTTTCAACAACAACAACAAAGCCCTGAGAACAAAGAGGTAAATACAATAGTCAGTACATTTTTCTATTTAAATTTTCAACAAAACATTGAAAAAATACTGAAAAACACAGTTTTACAAGCGGCAATTGCAGGTTTGTAACAGACTGAGGAAGTTGTCCTCTTTAGAGTAAACAATATTGTCGAAGCTCATGGAGGTGTATCTGTATTTGGTGGAATAAGCGAATGTACTCATGAAGCAAATGAAAAACAATATCAGCATTCAAGTGAAATGGAACCACTCATTAGCTCTTGTCTTGGCAATTTCAAAAAGGAACAAATAACTCGAACTAATACAAATTACTGAACCATTTATTTTGTAGCCATTGGAAACATTATGCAGCTAGCTAATACATCATGTGTCAACATTTCAATTGCTGATGTAATAGATTAATTTTCGCAAAATACATTCCATGCTGCCATGGATATTGCTATATGTTTTGCATAAATGGAACACACCAAATTTTTATGTCCCACCTAAGTCCAAAAAATTGCAAGAGTGGAATACATAATTCTAATTCTATTGAAATGAACTTGGAAGCCATGGTATGGACTATGAATGGATAACATAATGAAATTAAAGACAATGAAAATTTTGTCTGCCAATTACGTGGAATCGAAGCAGCATTACAGGAAAAATGAAAGATCAAGAGAAAAGGCGCCGTTTAGCTTAGATTGTGAATGAAGCACCTGAATTTTTTTTTTGTTGTTAAGTTGGTGACAAGGATGAATTAGAGAACTAATGTGTTCCTAAAGTAGAAGTGAACCATCAAAACCTACAGAGTAGATTTTGATTGTCATCCATAGGTGAGCATGGAAGACCGTGAACATAGTGGCTAAGATTTTGGATGATGGATGAGCTCAACATCTTTAGAGATTGTCATTGATACGGTTTGGGAGAGAAGCATTGTTGTCTTTTAAGGATAATAAGATTCTTCAACCTGCTAGCTATTCATTTAGAGCAAGACCCTAATATCTGAAACTCAAAATTTATGCATAAGCCCATCATCAATAAATTTCGAATTTACTAAAACTAGAACCTGAAACAACTCAAAATTGCAATGATGGTAACGATAGAAGAATTATGTTTGAGCAAGTTACCGTCGTGAAGAGTATCAAAAAGTGATGCTATGCTTTTCAATAGACTTTAAAAAATTAGATTTATATAGTTCAAAGCTTGTGCATGCATTTTTTTTTTCTTTTTTTTTTTTCAAGAATGAGATTTAATGTATGTTAAATGCACAATAGTAAAATAAAGTCTCTCTTAAGGTCCTAACAAAAAGGCAAACTCGAGATATAATTGAAACATGGTGCACAAGTAAAATTTTTCCTTCCATTTAGGTACTTTACTTGTAGAACAAAAGTGTAAGGATTCTTTTGTTTACTTAAGCATGGATGAATTAATGTGGGAACAAGTAGAATTTTAGAAGAATGGTAGTTGATTATGCATGAATTGAGCTCAGGGTAAGTAAAAACAGTCATCAATGTCTATCCCTTTGACAGAATATTTGCTGAACCTAGCAAAAATTCATCTCTTATGCTTTGTTTGTTTCGGCGGAAAATATTTTTTGGAAAATGTTTTTCACATTTTCTGGCGGTTAGTACGATAGAAAGCGAAAGTTAAATGGAAAATGTTTTCTATGGTCAATAAAAACAAGCCTTTTTGAGTGAAAAACGTTTTACACTTTTGAAGGTGGAAAATTTTTCCCCCAAGTGTAAAACATTTTTCGGTCTAAAGACTTACCAACACCACCACCCCCACTACAATCAACACCACCACTAATACAACCACTAGTACATTAGTTTTAGAGAGAACATTTTTTAGAAAGATAATTTCGGTAGAAAGGCTCAGTTCATAAGGTGAATTAGTTAATCTTACCTTGTAGAAATGTGTAAAGATTGCTAGTGGCGGTAATAATGAATAGGGCAATTTTTCCATTGACACCTATGAATAATACAAGATAAAATAACAAATGAGAATGAAAATTATCCATTCATTATTAAGGAAAAATTAAGAGAAGGAAATATTTGAAAGGAAAAGATAAAGAATGAATTGAAAAACAGAGCAGTGTGTTTAATTAGTAAGGTATTGGTAATATCAACATTCACAACAAACTGAAACTCTCTTACGATCCAAAAGAAGTAGATAGTAAACTCTCAGTTGTGACAAAAATCTGAGATGATATTAGTAATGAGAAAATAAATAAATAAATAAAAATGGTATGACAGATTTTGTGTTTGTACCTTGCAGGAACTTAAGGCTGACCCGTTTGATCGGAGTTAAAAGACTTGGTGGGGTTTGGTTTGGTTTGGTTTGTTTGTACCTTGCAGTTGGCTGCTTAATAACTCACTCGAAAACTACTTGAGGAATGTGTTGGATGATGGGCCAATATTCTTTCCCCTTTTCACACTTCTGTTTCAGTATTGGATTACGTTCCCCGATAGTCAGTGACAAAAGCGAGGGAGGGAATCCTTGTTCTGGAAAGGTCACAAGCTCAGGGCAGGAATAGATCTGTAGATACAAAAGAGAGGGAGGCAACCCTTCCTTTGGAAAGGACGCGAGCCTAGGGCAACCCTGGATGTCAAGTCTTTGGAGAGAGGTGAGGTTTTGAAACTCCTCATAAGAGAGTCTTTCCAGATTTCGGAAGTGACGGATACTCAAAGTGACGAGAGAGGTGGGCAGGAACATCTCTTCTTCTGGAAAGGACACCGTATCTTCCCACGGCCACTCTTGGCCATGAAGTTGGAGTGCTGTAAGAGAAGAGAGTTTGTGCAAACCCCACTCTAATGGAGATGGAAGTTGACCGAAGTCGTCCACTCTGAGACTCCCTATTTCAAGTGAAGTGATGTTGGTGGGGAAACTCCCTTCCTTGACAAAGTTGGAGACCATTTCTGCTCTGCAATCAACTAACCGCAGCTTTTGAAGTGAAGTGAGTTGGTTGATGTTGTTGTTCTCATCACGACCACCAAGTAAGTGACAGGGGCTCCAGATTATGACACCAGCTTATCTGCAATTTACTGAGATTCCTGAGATTATTGGCTTCAGGTAAAGATTTGAGACTGCTGCAATCCGTAATTTCAATATTTTCAAGAGATGGACAATCAATTTTGATCCCTTCCTCTGCGAAAAGTGACTCCAGATTTTTACACCAATTAATCAGAAGTTGTTTTAGTGTGGATGGTAGCCCACCTCTTGACAATAAATATGTGAGTGATGCACAGTCAGAAACCATCAACTCTTGCAGATTATTGAGTGTCATCAACTCGGGTAGGGACTTCAAAGCATCACACCCTGAAACCGCAAGTTCTCTCAGCATAGATGGCAAACCCTTCATCGGAAAAGAGATCAGACTTGCGCAAGCGTGGATTCTAAGCATCCCAAGAGATGTGTATGTGTGCATATCTTGTGGCAGTTTCTTCAGCATTCCACACCAATTAATTGTTAAATACTCGAGTCTCGTCATGCAAGGCAGCCCCTCATGTTGCTGCTTTTTCGAACCTTCTCCTCCTTTTTCTTGCTCTTCTTCAAACAAGCAAACCAGTTTGGGGCAATAAGAAATTTTCAAATGGCAGAGGGAAGGGAGACATACTTGTATTCTCATCTTATTCCGCCACAATGTTATGAGTTCTTGGCAGTTATGAATGTCCAAGTTCTTGAGTCTCGTCAAATCTCGAGTAAACCATGCCGGTAGGAACGCTAGTTTTTCAACATGAGAAATGCTCAAAGCAGTTATTGAAGGCAAATGCTTAGACATTTCATTAGCCAGTAACTCTTCATCAGTTGTGCTTGGATTGCAGAGGGAGTCGAGAACTGTAACATGTCTAATATCCATGGTGAGGGAACCAAGTTCAATCGTGTTCTTCGTCCCTGAGAGTGCTGGAAGGCTTGGGAGCATAACATTGTTCATTGACAAGGACGCAAGTGATGGGTGAACGAGGCTCGAAACATCAATCAACAACTGCGGGCAACCATCAATTTTGAGAGAATTCAGACAAGGAAGATCATTTGGTAATCTTCCAACAAGTTTGGGACAATTTATGATGGAAAGCTCATTGAGATGACCGAACGGCTGAACTCCCTCTGTTTCAAGAGCAGACCAATCCTCCCATTCTGGCATAAACATAAAGCTCAATCTCTCTAGAGAGCGGAAAGGTTTGGCACCACACTGCTGCCCATAGAACTCACAACCCAGGTGCTTTATTGCACTCATTCCTTCAATGTAAAGGTCTTTAAGCAAGGGTAGTTGTCCAAGTGGTGGCAAAGATGTGCAACATTTGCTACCTTTCAATCGCATGAACACCATTTTGGAGAACGAAACATCTCCAACCCAGTTTGGAAATTTTGTACTGTGATACCCACTGATGGTGAGTCGCTCCAACAATTTGAAAGGTCTCATCACGTCAAGCACATTCCTCTCAACTATGTCATTCTGTGAACTATGAGATTCATCCCATTCTAGTGATAACTCTTTCAACTCCTCCTTAGACATTAAATTGGCATCCCTTGCATCCTTAACACCACTGATATTCTCTAGTCTTGATATGCGTATTGCCCCTTGAATGTGTGATAGATTTTTCAACTCTCCTATTTTACGCCCACAATCTTTACCCACCATAAAATTTGACAATGTTTGGAGATTAATTAATTTACCTATATGTAGCGACATCTCTTCTGATGATGGAATATGCATGCCAGTCATGTCAAAATGTCTCAAGTTCACCAGCCTCCCCATGCTTAGAGGCAACTTCTGAAGTTGATGACAAAATCTCAAAAACATGACTTGTAAATTGTAGAGAGTTACCACTGTGTCAGGTAACCTTCTAATCCCAGAACCGGATACATCAAGATACCGCAAATGCTTTAGATCTCCAATGGAATCTGGTAGTTCAATTATACCAATACCACACAAACGCACCTCACGTAAGCATTTTAACTTTGGCAACAAATCATGTGTCAAGTACCTCGTTACTGAGTGAAAATGTTGTTTTGGCAAAAATTCTAAGAATGTTCGTAAGCATTTGGCATCATCGAAAGCTTTAAATTTTTTGATTCCATCATGATAGCTAGCAACATAAGATGCATGGCGTGCTTTGTCCGAAATCTTGTCCTGCCTGCCACCCTCTAAATTATTTTCCAACCTAAAACATTTGTCCCCTGCAACATCTTGAGCCAAATCATTGATGAGGTCATGCATTATGAATTGCGATTTGTTACCACTTGAAGGTTGAAAAAATGATCTTGACACCAATTCGTGAAAATACTCGCGGCCTAAATCTTCCATTTGGTCTCCACATTTTGGTTGCTCAATTAAACCTTCAGCCATCCATAGCAAGACTAATTTCTTCTCCATGAATTCGTAGTCCTTTGGGATAATTGCACAGTAGGAAAAGCACCTCTTCAAATGGATAGGGAGATGAAGGTAGCTCAATTTCAATGCTGTGAGAATGCCACTTTTCTCATCCCATATTTTGCTGTTTAGTATATCTTTCCATTCATGTTCTTCTTGTTTACAGCATAATAAGCCGCCAAGGGCCCTTGCTGCCAAGGGTAAGCCTCTGCACCTGTTCTCAACAATTTTCTTACCAATTAATACCAATTCTGGGCATTCCATGATATTTCTGTTCTCAAATGCATGTTGGGCAAAGATTAACCAACAATCGTCATATGATAACTCGTGCAAATTGTGATATTTATCCATTCCCATCTGCTTTGCAACACCACTGTCTCGCGTTGTCACAATGATTTTACTTCCAGGTGCTCCAGCTCCAAATGGCAATCGTAACAAATTCCACCCATCACGTCCATAGTCCCACACATCATCTAGCACAAGCAAAAACTTTTTCCCTGCCAAAGTTTTGCGAAGTTGAACTTGAACCTCATTTAAGTTACTTAGATTACATGAACCGTGAGTGAACGACTCGAGAATTGCCTTTGTTATTCTCATAACTTCAAAGTCATCAGATACACATACCCATGCTTTTAGATTGAAATGATTTTCCAGTCGGTCGTCATTGTAAATGTGCTGAGCTAGTGTAGTCTTGCCGATCCCACCCATTCCTACAATAGGAATTACATCAAAAATTTTTCCAGTAGGTGCATCCCCAAGTAACAATTCGATAATTTGCTTGATGTCTTCATCTCTGCCATGAATGTGAGGCTCCTTCAAACATGTAGTTTGTGATCTCTGCCGTAAATCTGTAGACATCCTCCCAACAAGTCTTTTATCTAAACCAAGATCTTTTCCTTTCGTAGCAACTTCTTGTAATTGACTAGTAATCTCATTTAGCTTAGACCCATTTTTTAAATTGAATGGAACCATAGAAGAGAGGCGTAGAAACTTAGCTGGTCTTGTTTCCATCGTCGTCTCCTCCGCCATTAGCTTCCTTTCGAGAGCTTCAGTGGCAAAATCATCCAGTAAGTCATCTGCATCGTAAGCCAAATGGTAAACTTCTTCAAGCCACTTTTTGATATCCTTGCGGTCTGTCTGTCTGTTCTCTGCATCAGCCAACAGAGTCTCTAAATCCTCTAATGCCTTCTTCAGATTCTGGATGCCAGCGCCGACGTCCGCTGTGCTCACTAAGTTGTTAAAATAAGAGGACAATTTATCAACCATAGCTTGTATGAATGGAGAGATAAAGATCCCAAATACATCCATGGTGTTTGTTCTGAAAGAAGGAAAGGTAATGAAAGCAAGCAATACAGAGATCAAAAACAAGGTTGAACAACCTCTGCAAAGGTAAGAAAGGAAGCAATACAGGGATGGAAAAAGAGGCTGAAGGAACAACTTTGGTAGGTAAAGGTTGTAAACTCAATACAAACCAAGCAATGCATAAATCAAAAACATGGTCAATTCATGAAGACCCCCCTCCCCCAAAAAAAAGAAAAAAAAAAAAAAAAAATTTACATTAACGAAGGGCACACTAGTAAATAACTGGTTAAATTATTCAAATGGACAAATGATTTTTCTGCACCTTTAACTAAAGTGAAAGCGATGAAAGAAGTCAATAATGGCGCCTCATCTCAGTGGCTGGCAATGACCCACTTTGCACTCATGTTGTTTGTAACTTTGGGGAAATTGCAATTACGTGCAACAGTGGGAAAAATCATATTCTTACGGTGGTGACACAATTCTTTTTGTGTGTTAAAGTTGCAATGTTTCATATATTTGCAATTTCCCCTACTTTCTACTCGTTTATTCTTCAGTTTTCCTTTTTTTTTTTTGTTGGATTTTCCTTTTCAATCAATTTTTTTTTTTTTTTTTTTTTTTTTGAGTTCTTCAAAAAATTTTGAGAAGAAGAAAAAAAATGATGAATATGTTGAAGCAATTAATTATAGAGTCAATTTAATAAAATAAAATTAGAAGAAAAGAAAGGAATTAGAATAAATTATTTAATAAGAAAATAACAGATCTAATAATATGTAATTGACTAATGATTAGAGAAAGAAGAGGGAGAATTTTTTAAAATATTTTAATAGATTATCAAATCATTAAATTTGACATTTTAGTTTTTAATATAATCCTTTTTTAATTCTTCCATGGAAGCACATGCAACTATTTAATTTTTTTTCCTATTTAAATCTTTAACTTTAACCATTATAAAAGTTTATTTATAAATCTCATTTAGAGCACTTATAACCAAATAAATCTGCAAAATATTCTTATATTTCACCTAATACTATCCCTTTGAACTGATATTCTAATAGATATTTTATCCTATATTACAAGTAATATGTGGACTATTCTACCCTTACAAACTTTTATTAATATATATATATATATATAATTATTATACCATATATCTAAGAGAAAGAAAATCATTTATTAGATATATTTCATTTATGATATATATAAAATAGGAAAAATTAGAGATGAATCCAATTTAAGGAGGGTATAAGACATTAGGTCCAATAGATATTTTTTGTTGGTGAGAGGTTCACCTTTTGTGAAATAGTTTGCTGAGAAGTTCTTTTGTTATTCTGGGAAAACATTTTGTTTTCAATTTTACCCCTTAATTTATCTGTTGACTTTTTTGACTATCTGTTGAAATTTGTATCTATCTGTTCAAATGTTTTTTCTATTTGTTCAAATGTTTTTTCTATCTACTCAATTTTTTTGACTATTTGTCCTTTTTTTTTTTTGGTTCAAATTGAAGGCCCATTTTCCTATATGTTTGAAATTTCACAAACTTGTTTTATATCTGTTGGAATTATCCACTACAACAACAACACACCAACAGATAAAAAAACAACAACACAAAACAAATAAAAAAAATAAAATAATTTTACATATTTGAACAGCTAAATCCAACATATATCTGTTCAACAAAGAAAAAAAAAGTTATCATTAGGGAGGCATGATCAATAGCAACACCACCAACAACAACAACAAAAAATTATCTGTAACAACATATCTATATTCTAGGGTTTTCGTCCAACAGATCTGTATTTTAGGTTATTTTGCAATTAAAATGTATTTGGCCTTATATTCATCTTGAATGCCAAACTCCGAGTGGCCAAAGACCTCACCAAAGCAGATCTAGCGATGTACATAGTCACAAAGATCGCATGAATACGAAGGCTGAACCCTAAACCCAAAATTATGGATTACTTGGATTTTTATACACATATGTTGATACACAACTACGGAATGCTCATCTAATGCATCTATGTAGACATCTGAAGACCCTGCAATGCAGGATTTAGCTGAGGTTTGAGGATGGATAGGTTGAGATATTCAACGTCGACAGACACCGGATAGAGCATTACTCGCTAGGGTTGACTTCCATTACCGGAGTTCGCTATAAACCACAAAGGGAGGAGTTGGTGGGGTAGATGATCGTCTTAGATTAAGGTTTCTCTATAGCTGAAGACCTAGAGTAGACTGAGAACCCTGAAATGCTATATACCAACGTCGGAGTGAACTAGTGCGATTATTTTTGTCGAGCTTTGAAGGATCTAGATCCATTACCACCGCCACTTTGTTCACGCTGTATAAGAGTACAACACTGACTCCGCCAGATAAATCAGGTGTTGGTGGCGAAGAGTTGTTTCTAATCTTCTTCTTCAGGCCTTCGGTGATGGAGGACAACGGAAAAAGAAGAGGGGTTGTGGTAGTTCACAAGTGGTCCAATGCAATCGAGAGATTGAGCAGTGACTCTGACGACTCCGGTGACTACAAGAGAGAGAGGATTAGGGTTTGGAGAGAGAAAGAGAGCGGGACAAGCTTTTCCTTTTGGACAAAGTATTCTAGCGCCTGGACCTTTAGCTAAAAAAATTGAAAATTAGACTTTTTGGCCAAGTGCCCTATAAAACATTGTATGTAAGTATAGAAGATTATTATTCTTAGTGCTTTGTTTGCCTCAATGTGAGGGATTTACTTTATCAAAGATCTTCAGTCACCATTATTTTACAATAAGCTTCTATTATAGAAGAACATTTAGAAGAGAAGATTAGTTGTATATATAAACTGATGATAGAGATGATGGTGGACTCGCAATAGAGATGATGGCAAACTGGCGATGAACAATCATTTTTCATTATTGTTGTACTTAAACTGTAGTCTCCCCGTCGATATGTGTATTCATCAATATTGTGTAGTTTATTCACTAGTATTATTGCAGAATTAATTATACACATATTTTTCTAAAAATGTGCATCAATATATATATGAACTATTTGATATTTTTTATATATTGTTTGTCACTATACTTGTTGGTTGAACAATTATTTTTATTGCCATTGAACAATCAAAGTCAATTTTTTTTTACTTTATTCAATTTTGTTTCACGTTTTCACGTTGCAGTGTAAATGTTCACATTGGTATGAGTTTAACTTTTTTAAAGCTAGTTGTATGTTAATTTAAACTGTAAAGATTCACATTGTATTTTGATGTAAATTTTATTTTTTCGAATGTTAGTTGTATGTTTGTTATTTTTGTTACTATACTTGTTAGTTAAACAATCATTTTTTGTTACTATTGAACAATCGAAATAATCAGTTTTTACTTTTTTAATTTTTTTTATTTATGTTTTCACGTTCCAGTGTGAATGTTCACAATCGTATGTGTTTAGTTTTTTTTAACGGTAGTTGTCTGTTAATTATAAACTGTAAACATTCACATTGTATTTTAATATGAGTTTTATTTTTTTAAGGTTAGTTGTACGTTTGTTATTTATTGTGAACATTCACATTGTACTTCGATATATATTTTGTTTTGTCGAATGTTAGTTATATATTTGTTATTTACTATGAATATTCATATTGTATTTTAGTTTTTGTTTAGATTTTTGGTTGCGTTATTTTTAAATTTTCGCATTATAAAAAAATGTGAAAATAAGATATTTATTAATCTTCAAAATTTTAAAACAGTAAGATTTTAAATATGATATTTATTAGCTTTCATGATTTTAGATTTTCAATTCATCTTTTGTATTTATAGTGCCTAACTCAAATGTGAATGTCCACACTTTTGATGTTGAATGTGGTTCGGAAAACAATGTTGAAGTAAGATAGCTCAACTAGGATGATAACAGATGCCTGTCAAAATCGCTGTGAAATTTGCAGTAATAGGATTCCGCAATGAGACTGAAATATTGGTTTATTCGTAGCAATGAATTCATGTTTGGAGATTTTAGAAAGTTAACTTTCTAGTATATCGTTAGTTAGGAGATTACAATTTGAACTCCAAAACATGTATGATTGAAATATTTGAGTGTTTATATAATTACATGCCACAAGATTAAATGAGTTATAAGAAGAAAAAAAGAAAGTAAGAGTTTTTAGATAGATAAGTCCCAATACATGGGATTTATGGAAAAAAATTCCTTGTAATTTGTATATTCTTGTCATATATTTCAATATTTTTTTTTACACAGTGGTTATAAGAAGAAAAAAAGAAAGTAAGAGTTTTTAGATAGATAAGTCCCAATACATGGGATTTATGAAAAAAAATTCCTTGTAATTTGTATATTCTTGTCATATATTTCAATATTTTTTTTTACACAGTGGTTATCATTTTCTTATTTGAAATTGTTCAAACCTATTATAAATTGAATAAATTAATAAAGTGGTATAATTGTGATTTAAATTCTGTCTTCATTTAGAATTTAGGATTTTAGTATTTGTGTTTATTTATTTATGGATAGGGAGATTTTTAGCTATTATTTAGTTTTTAATATTTGTCTTAATTCATAAAGTGGTAGTTGAAGGTGTTTTTCAAGAAAATGTGGTGGCCAAAGGTGGTTACTGCCAGCAAGAGAAGGCAGGTGGTTAGTGATTGAGGGAGATGGTGATCGAAGGTGGTTGGCGAAGGAGGTCATTCGATGGTAGCCGATAGCGATGAGTAAGGATGGCAATGGAGCAGGTTTGTCATCCTCTGTCCTCACCCCCACCCCATATCATAGTGGGGCAGGGTGAAAGTGGGGGCGAGAGGCGAGTTAATTTTGTAACTTAACAAATGATTTTTTAAATAAAATTATAAATAATAATTTATAATTAACGAGAGTTAAAAGATGTATTATAATAAATAATGAGTGAAAATGAATACTAACTATAATATTTTACTTTTATTATATTGAAAAAAATTTAAGGGAGATTTATTTATAAATCCCTTTGAGTAGATTTATAGCCCAATAAATCCGTAAGGTTTTATTGTGTTCTATCAAGTCCCATATATTTAGACTTGTATCCCACGAGGTCATTTTTTCCTGATTTATAATTTGTTTTGGACTATTATACTCTTTGTTCTATTTTGATAGTACATATTATACACAATAAGATATATACGTTTTTTAGATTTTGTTATTTCTATGTTGGAAGTTTTGGTGATAGGATCTTGGAGGAATCAATAGATACGTTTTTGTAGGAGTTTCATT